GGAAGAAGAGTGAGTGAGTGAGTGAGTGGCCCGGCCGGATTGAAAGCTCGCGACTGGAGCTGGAGCTGGACCTGGAGCTGGACCTGACGATACTTTGTTGATTGGTTTGTTTGAATGAAGAAAGGGTTGGGAGGGGACGAGAAGATATGACTGGGTGGCCTAGACGTGAGGGGTCCGAGCTAGTGTAGCTTAATAATCAATCAATCACTGAAACCTCCGAGGGGGGGAGGAGAGGAGGGGAGGGGGCGGAGGCGAGGTGGTGGCGGGTAAGCGTGACGTGGAGGTGTGTGGTAAGTAACGATGTGCAGTAGGAGGGGGGTGTGTGGTGAGTAACGAAACAATAGGGGGGGGTCGAGTACGCGATTGGTTGACGTTTGGGGCTTGGAGCCACCGCTTTTTTGGGTCCGTCTCTCCGTCTCTCCGTCTCTCCGTCTCTCCGTCTCTCCGTATCTCGTGACCTGGGCCTGGGCCTGGACTTGGACTTGGACTTGGACTTGCAAGCTCGATCTTCGTGGCTGGGAATCCATCCCATCCACCCATCCATCCATCCATCCATCCATCCATCCATCCATCTATTCATCCATTCATCCATTCATCCATTCATCCATTCATCCATTCCTCCCATTCCTCCATTCCTCCATTCCTCCTCCATTCCTCCTCCGTAGCCCCATTCGCTCCGTTCGGTCGATGGGCCGTGATCGGTGAGTCCCGTCGCACAAAGAGCGGTGACCCCCTCCCCAGTTTCTGCTTCGGGCCGGGTCGGGTGCCTTCTCGCCTCTGAAATTCCGAATGTCGTTACGGGGTACCTTGGTTGGGACTCATCCATGTCTCCGGCTGGTTCCTTTTTTTTTTTTTTTTGCTCCTTTTTTCTTTCCTCTTCCTCTTGTTCAATTTTCCCCCTTTGCTACTTTGCTTCTTTTCACCAACCGAGCGCACTCCTCCCGCGGCTCAAGGTGGACGGCAACGGCAACGGCAACGGCAACGGCAACGGCAAGGGCGTCGGCATCGGGCACGGGCAAGGGCAAGGGCAAGGGCAAGGGCAAGGAAAAAGGTGCCGCATCGACCAATGCAGGTCACAACAACAATAAACGCGTACGCGTCTTGGTTGGCTGCTGCATTGCCCTTCTCTCCCTCACCTGCATTTCTTCTCCAATCATAGGTTCATAGGTCGCGGCCCCCTCTTGGTAAGCGCGGCCCTCAGGTGACGGACGGGTCAGACGAGACTCAGGTCGACGAGGCGGAGGGCGTGAGAGGAGACTGACTGACTCCCTTTTTCCCCCGTTCCCGTGTCTCTGATGGGCATGGAACCATAACCATCATCCTTCATCAAAATCGGTCAGACCTTTCCCCTCCTCTTCCTCACAGAGTCTCAATCAAAGAGAAAGATCAAGCGTACAGTGAGGTACAGTGAGTGTACCGTACCGTGCCGTAGGCGATGGCCTGCTTCCAAGGACAGCCGGGATCGGGACGGGAGGCGGGACAAGGGGCCTTGAGGGGCCTTGGTGAAGAGAGTCACGAGTAATATCCCGCAACCTGCTTTGCACTTTCATCTTCATCTCCGAGCCGGAGATGTCTCCTGCTTAGGATACAGCATCAGCATCGGCATCAGCATCAGCATCAGCATCAGCATCAGCATCAGCGTCAGCATAAGCGCTGCTGTAGGTGCGAGGCTCCAGGCTCCTATCGGATGGGTTTCATGTGCCTGGCGCTTATGTGAGACTTGCGGAAGCCGGAAGAGACGTAGAGATCTACGGAGCGTCTACGGACATCCGTAGAAGTACTACTTACTACCTACTACCTACGGTACCACTACTGTAAGTACAAGCAGCTGCTGAGGATTCGACTCGGCGTCTGGGTGGCTGGGCTGATGTCATCATGTGAGTGAGTGTGAAGGCTCTCTCGCTACTTACCGGTACTACGTACTAAGCAAGTAAGTATAAGGTTCGGATATTGGTTACGCCGAGATGTGGTACCAGTTTCTCAACCAGTCCATCAAACATAGACTTCCACTTCCACTTCCAATCTAGGTGCACACTTCTGGGCCCGGCGTATTCAGTCGGAGGCACGGATGGTTAGGAGAGAGCTTCTCTTGAAATGTTCACCGTACACCAAGTGACGGGCAGAATCGGCTGCCATCCAAGTCGAGGGATCCAGAAGCATGTTTGTTGCATACCTACCTACCTACACACCTTCCCATCCCCACGCCACTTTCCGACCTACGACAACACCCTCCTCTCCCGAAACGCAACCTCGGCCGGTAAGCGGAACGTCGCACAGAACATCCTCTTCTTCGGCGCCACGTCCCTCACCTCATGAACCACCAGCTCCTCGTCTCCCGGCTTGATCTCCCAGTCCAGCCTCGTGCTGATCCGCTCACAAATTTCCATCGTCTCCCTGACATTGTCATCACTCTTCGTAGAAAAGCAATGCACGTGCACCATGGGCAATTTGACATCGGTGTACGGAGTAAAGAGTTTTTCGTGCGAGTGATACAGCCCGTTGAAGGAGCCGACGAAGTCGATGGCTGTGGCGGGTAGGTTCATCACGAAGTGACTTATGGTCGGAGGTATGGTGACGAGGGTGGGCGAGGGAGCTGGAACGAGTGGGGCGGCGCCACGGGGACGTTTGGCCTTGGACCGTACAGAGACGGTGTTTTGATTAGTCGCGGTGAGGTGGAGAAGGTCGTCGGCAGCCTTGTGGATGAATGTGTGGCCGTCTTCGCAGTAAGGGCGCACAAAGTTTTGGACCTGGGGCACGTTAGTATTGCGATAGAGGCGAGTGAAGTAATATGTGTGTGTGAGCGAAGAGAGGTTTCATCAGCATATAGCGCCTTCTCAAAGGCGATATATATGCGCCTTGTGGTATGTAAGCGTTTGTCAACGGCGATATCTCATGTCCCATCGTGATATTCCGTAAATCGTCATCTGAGAGAGCAAGGGGCATAGAAAAAAAAAAAAGGGACGTCCCTTATTCTTGACAACCGCTTCCTTCATACTCGCGTAACTGTTCGGGTTCAGATCATTTGCCCAAACGAAGACCCCTTTCTTCCCTGCTGGGATAGCAAAAGGCCCAACACCCGCCATCACATCGCACACAACCTCTCCAGGCTGGAAGGAATCCACAAGTCTTTTGTGTTCGGTCTGAAGCCTACTGTTCCAATAGACTTTTGAGTAGTCGAATTTGAATATGCAGTCGCCTTCGCTCAGCTCGACGTTCATATCATCTGGTCCGGTAAGGACTTCATACTCAAATGTTCTGAACACGGAGTGTGTTCCCACATCGTCGACTTTGTTGATCACGGTTCGGATTTGCGGATTCTTGTCTACCAGTACTTCGGCTATAACTTTTTTGTATGGTAGGTATTCATCCCGGAGGTTGAGATGTGCTGTAGTTCATTTATTAACACGGATCGGCTTCTCTCGGCCAGTGTAGCTCTTACCAATATGTCCAACGATTGCAAATCCAACAGGTATTTCTCCTTGCGCATCTTCGGGCAATAAAGAAGTCATAACATCATCTGTCAAGTTCAGCATGATATCCAGCTGGAACGGCGCGCTGTCAACGTACATACGGTATGTCCAGTAACTGTAGTCCAGCTTCAAATTATACGGAATGATCCCAATATCGTCCTTCTCGACAGCTTCTTGTAGAACCGCGCTCCAGGTTGTAGGATCTGTTTCTGGGTCAGAAACTGGCCACTGTTTTCAGGCTCAATCCAAGTGTACCTTCGGGTTTAATCTCTGGCTTCAAGAGCAAGCACTTCCCTCCCTTCTCAGCCAAACTTGGATCTGGATCTGGCCGCACATTCATGACCCGTTCGAGCTGCATCAACTCCTTGCTCTTCTCCAGTTTCTGGCGGTAGCACGATAGGTTCTTGAGACTCGCGACTCGGGCTGCGGCCATAGGTATCGTCTTTGAGAAGAGGGCGCGGTCGAGAGCTGCGCTCGCTGAGCGGACGATAGGGGGTCGGAATATGGACATTGCGTTCACAGAAGCTGCTAATTTTGCGCCCTTTGAGTTCTTTATCAGTATTTACCCCCTGAACATTGGACAGATGGACTGACTTCCATAGCTTCATATAAAAATTATGCTGTTTGCAAAGATGAGTATTGTTCAGGCGGAATAATATTTTTTGCGGTTTGCATCGCAGGGCTGTGGCCCGGGCAAGGCTACACCTTTCCCAAGCTAGGCAAGTGGTATCTCGTGATGTCATAACGAGTCACGTGGTGTTGAGACTGACTCTGAGCGCGTTCTCAAATCTAATTGTTCCAGACTGAGATGGTACCATGGCCGAATCTACAAAGAAGCGTACGCTTGACGCGTTTTTCAAGCCTCCTCAGAAAAAAATCAAGGTATCAGAAGACGGAAGTTGTCCCAGTAAAAAAGAGCAATTCAGCAGCGATTCAAAATCGGTTAGTAAATCATGGACAGTGATCATTTTCTGTGCATATCTGATGATGAGAAGATTGAGTACTCCCGTCATGTAACCTATCCGTTCCCTATCCCTCACTTCCAGGCTTCAATTGCAGCAGAGCTGTCCTGCCTCCCTTCCACAACCGGCAAGCCAATGAATGATCAAGCGGATCTCGACCTCCTCTACTTTCAACCTTATATTCCCAAGCATCTTGGAAAGCAATTGTTCCTGTTTCTGCGGTCAGAGCTGCCATTTTACCGAGTCCAGTACAAAATGAAGCGTGGAGGAATCGAGACTCAGATCAACACACCGAGGTTTGCTTGTGATTGCGCTCCTGGTCTCAGATTACCCCGAATAACAAAGTCTAGATATACTACAGTCTTTGGCCTGGACGAGACTTCAAGGTTCGATAATGACGGCCAAGTGGTAGACGCTAAAACCGGATGCCCAGCTTCGAAAGACAAAAATTACGCCAGATACCCACCGCGACCAATCCCAAAGTGCTTAGATGACCTCCGGCTTTCGACTGAAGCTGCCACAGGATGCAAGTTCAACTTCTGCCTCGTGAACTACTACGCTTCGGGGTCGGACAGCATATCGTATCATTCTGATGATGAGAAGTTCCTTGGGCCTCTGCCCGCGATTGCCTCATTCTCGTTAGGAGCTAAGCGAGACTTCCTCATGAAGCACAAGCCTATTGCTCCAAATGAAAATTCACCACCGCCACCAGAGACGAAGCTTATAAAACTACCGCTGGGCAGTGGGGATATGGTTTTGATGAGAGGAAAGACCCAAGCAAGTACGCCCCCAATAATCTAGGTGACTATCAAAATGTATATTGCAGCAGATAGGGCAATGGCTGACGTCTTGACCCTAGATTGGCTGCATTCCATACCGAAGAGGACAGGAAAGAACGCCGAAGACGGGGGAAGAATCAATATAACATTCAGAAGGGCAGTTATCAGAGCAGGAACTGAGAATTATAATAACTACAACGTAGGGACGGGTACTGTGCACAAGTGGGACAAGAGCTCCCTGGAGATGAAGCCTTGGACGGTGTAATAGAAACGATAGACATGAAGTTGAGATTCTCGCCAGGAAATTGTTTTCATTGTTTGCAACTAATTCGGCGGTAAATAAATGAGTGTGGTGTATGCCTTTACAAGCAGACGATGCAGAGTGGATTGAACACCAGAAATGACCTCTGAATGTTCTGCCGAGAGACGCTTATGCTGCCAGGCATGTTGCGGTGGCTTTGCAGTTTTGACGGAAAGTATTGGCGGCGTTAATGGTTGGAAGATTGCACTTCAGAATGATATGTATTAGCATTTATATCGTGCATGAGGTATGATTGAAAGGGTTGAGAAGACTTTGTTCAGTCTGGTAGTGACTTACCCTTCCTGCTACCGAGTTGAAGGATGCGGTGGAGATGGTGCCGCACAAGGCTTGGGTAGTGGACGAATCTCCGCAGGTACACGATTGCCCTTGTGCGCTGACTGCAGAGATACTAAAGCAATATACAAGTTAGCCATCTAGCCATATCAAACTGATGAAGTTGGACTGGATAAGCTACTTACAAAAGGGCCATGATCAAAGATTTAACAGACACCATTTTGGCAATGCGAAGAGGATTGATAAATCAGATTTTGATTGTTGAAGTTGGATAAGCTAAAGATTGGAACGGATGCAAGTGATAGTTTGAAGAACGAAAGTCTTTCGCGGAACAAGAAGGCCTTTATACTCGTGTTGGTAGCTGGTGAAACCAAACATCGCAAAACCTCGCCTGGCTTGACTGACGTAACATCAACCTCAAATAAAGGAACAAGACTATGTTAAGAATGAATACGTCGTATACTTTTCAAGCAGTTCGAACTACGTCCCAGGCGTAAGTATTACACCCTGAGGGTAGGGTAACCAGGGGGCTTATCATGGAAACTAAACTTTTGGGGCACCCTCAAGGGGTAACAATTACGCCTGTACCGTGGGTATATCACCCGCTTTCGCTTGGCAAGGAGGCTCTGGAAAAAGCTCATATAAATAGCAAGTCATTCTGCCAATGGTGCAGCTAAGTATATGCTCGATGATCATTCCCGGGGTGGCCGCCCCTCGCAGCTTTGCACGACACTTTTAAGAGAATCTATAGGCCATCTACCTACGAAGGTTAAGCTACGGAGGTACGGCTCCGCATTTACCCCTATCACGGTACTCCCGTATGAATACGTAGTACATGTCGAAAGTATAATTTTGAAAGGGATCTTCAAGGCTCCTTAAAGTTGCGACGTCAAGTTCCACTATTACGAGGTCTCAAACCGATCAACATACTAGTACAAGGATTCACTCAGCCTTAGAAACTATCTCTGAGCCAGTATCTAGTCTGTGCAATGGAGTTGACACGGCTTTAAGCCATTCAGAAATCACTGTTCTACGACTTATGGAGCTAAACTGGGTCCGACATGTACTCCTAAGGGGGTGATAGTAAGGCACAGCAAAACATAGCGTAGGGAGTACCGTATGGGCTATGCGGTGGAGGTTGCTGACTATGCCACCGTTTTCCTTCTCTGTTACTTTTTATATAATTCCTGACTTAGGTAGTATTATTTCCGAAACATGATCCAGATATAGGTAGTCAGATCCAATGCCTACATGCGAACTAGACAGATATGGCTTGGATAAATTAAAACCTCACACAATTCATTCATCCCGCTGCGAGCAATCGAAATATACTACGTCGCAGGCGTAAGTATTACCCCTCGAGGGTAGGGAAAACAGGGGGTTCCAAGTGGAAACTAAACTTTTAAGGCACCCTCGAGGGGTAATACTTAGGCCTGTACCGTGGTACAACAAGTACCGGTACTGGTACTATGAGGAAGACGAGGTACTGCGTAGTATATTCCCTGGGGCTCTTCCGCAAGCTCCGGGGATTTCGCTTCGCAACGTTCGCGGTGTAAGGCTGCTTTCCGAGGCTTTTAACATCAACGCTATATTTTATGTAAGAAATAAGTAAAATTGAGTTGTACTGTACAGTATAAAGAAAATGTGAAATAAAATTCTAAGCTTCGGCCCGACCGCAAACTAAAGCTTACTTGTACGGCCTTTCGCGAGCTTACTACCTCCCCCTAAACAAAAGACGGACCCATTTGGTGAAATCATATTTTGACCGTATAGCTGACCGCTTATTAAATGTAGCAAAATAACGTATATATTGATTTTCTAGTATTTTGTAAGTCCTCCTTGTGCATAAATCATTGCTCGAAATCCATTTTACTACGAATTATATAAAGAAATCATGAATTCTTGAGGAACTGCTTCCCCAGCGTTAGGGTGACAGCCCCCTGGTCACCCCCTAGTAGATATATACTTTTCGTCTTTTATTCAGGTAGAGGTAAGTTTTCCGGACTTCGCGATACTCATCGGTTGCCTAATGAGTATTTATTTGAAAATTGTCCCGACCTAGCGTTAACGAGCTATTTGTCAAGTATTCGAGAGGGGAAGAATCCGTGACTGCGTTGTATACTTGTACAAACCGAAAAGTGACCGAAGATTTCAAACAGATAGAGCTGGCTAGTATTGATACTCGTAAAATAAACTTGCAATCTTCCTAACGTTAGTCACCTATTAATCAAGTTATTCGTGTTCCTGCGTAGCTTCAGCTTTGACGACTGCACTTAATCAACGCAGCTCCAAGTCAAGTGATTATATTTCACGTGATTCAACTCTAAACAGTTTACGGATTTACGGTCTTAGCAACGATCTACAAAACGCCAAATAATCAAAGCGAGCTTGTGGGTTCAGGTAAAAATGCAATCGAGGATTCTAAGGAAATGCACTTGATTAGCCGAAAATATGGCGCATGGTAACGAGCGGCAAATTCCTAATATACGTAGTACGAAGCACCATGGTACAGGCTTCATTACCCCTCGAGATACTTCTAGTACTACCTACTACCGGTACTGTAACAGAGCCATGACTATGGCCCGTGAGTACGGACGAAGTATACCCCGCTTATTCGTGCTTCTCGGATCACGATTCAACGTCGCAACCTTATTATTAATCGCGTTAACCACTACACCTCTTAAATGTCAATTGATAAACCGAATACGGATATAATTCTGTTAGCGACTTCTTACGAGTCCTCTTTAATAGTCGAAGCTCGCCCCCCTCGAAATACGCCCTCAACACCCGAAAAGCACATCTCAAAGGATTACGGCAAATGAGATAGTAACGAACAAGGTCTTGACCCTGGCGGCTTGCTTCGCCCGGTCGTGGTGTGAGGCTGCCTTCCGCATTAACGCTACATCGATTTTCTACAAGAAATACGCTTTAAAAGGATGTAAAGAAAATGTGACGCTTCAGCCGGGCCGCAAGCTAAAACTTACGGCCCTCCGCAAGCTCCGGGGTAAGTTTTCCGGACTTCGCGGTGTAATACTCGTAGCTATATAATCTATAATAATAGCTTCTTTTAGCGCGATGCAGCTAGCTATCTCTTGAATATTTTATATAGTCTTTTTCTTATAGAATAGCCCTTTTCCGCGCGATGCAATCAGCTACTTTTCGAGCATTCAATTTATAGTATTAGCCTCTTTTAAAGCGATGCAGCAAGCTGGTTTTCGAGCATTTTTCTTTTTGTTATTGATTATTTTTAATTAGCTATAGCTACTAATCAAGTATTAAAAAGGAAAAGAGTTCATAATCGTAAATTTCAATCGCAAAAAGTAGATTACGCGCAAATCTAGCTCGTTACATTCGCAAGATTCCCTTTTTCGTTATGAATAAGCAATTAGTCAAGTTTTTGATGTTCCTCGATACCTTGAAGGCAGGTAGGGGGTCATTTGAGCGGTCCTCTGACCCTCTTTTATAAAAGACGGTTATTGGACCATTTACCACAGTACAGGCCTAAGTATTACCCCTCGAGGGTGCCTTAAAAGTTTAGTTTCCACTTTAAACCCCCTGTTTTCCCTACCCTCGAGGGGTAATACTTACGCCTGCGACATAGTAAAATCAGTACTAGTTACAAATCAAGAATAATTCGCCTTTTTGATCGTCCCCAAGCTTAAGACCGTCTTACAGCCGCCCCCGTCTATATTTTTAAAACAGGCTTATCAATAAGCTCGTTTTAAAAAATTAAAATAGTTCGATAACTATTTTCAAAAAGATATAATTGTAAATAAAAATCATTTCTCAAATAGAATCGTTTTAATAATAATTCAATAAGTTCAATGCTGAGATATTTCTCGGTATCGTTACTACGGCGTATATATTAACGCTTTAAAGTATTTATAATCGAAATCGATAGATTTAGCAAAAGTTCGCCTGCGCCGTGCACTTTCAATGGCCATGTTCAGGGTGGTGTACCTTAAAGGGTGGTAGGGGGCCATTTCAATTGTCCTCTGATCCTCTTCTATAAGAGACGGCCATTGGACCGCTTAAATTCAGTACTAAGCTCTTTTCAAAAATAGTTTATCGAGAAGACCGTCCTATTGAAAGAGACCGTTTTGTGGCCGTCTTATAGCCGTCTCCGTTTATATTTCTAAAACAGGCTTATTAGTAAGCTCGTTTTAAAAAATTAAAATAGTTCGATGACCGTTTTAAAGAAAATATAATTATAGATAAAAATTATCTTTTAAATAAAATTGTTTTAATAATAATTTAAGAAGTTCGACGCTAAGATATATCTCGGTATCGCTGCCACGGCTTATATATCAACGCTTTAATTTTTTTATAATCGAAATCGATCGATTTAGCGGAAGTTAACCCGCCTGCAACGACCGCCTTTACATCCTTTATTGAGAGGGAGTGTAGAAG